TGGAAATCTATAGAAAAACTATGGTTAACGAAAAAAAAACACGATTTTTGTCCTAAAAAGCCCACTTATTATTTACTAGCCGGAAGAAATAAACTATACGTAGTAAATAATGTAAAAGCTTCAGAAGCAGCCGAATTTCGTAGAAGTTGGGACAAGAAAAACTATTTTAGTTGCAAAGATAGGTTTATTCTTATGCAGATATAGAAAACGCCAATTTTTTAAGCAAACAAGCCGAGTAAAACTTTTCGTCTCAAAAAAAATTAGTTACCAACAAATAATTATTTAACAGGAAGGGGGGGAGAAACTTGAGAGAGAACAATTATTCAGTAATATCGTACGTCCAGTTGTTTTATTGAGACCATTAGAATGCTAACAATATACTGTAAATAGATTTGAACCTCGTTTTATGCAATGCATAAATTATACAATGCTTGTTTTTACGGTAAAACTACTTGACAGTTAAGATTGGGAGTGACAGATTGGAAATGACTCATGCTATTATAAAAAATATCGATTTTATAGGATCTTTATTGACAACTACAGAGAAACTGCTAAAGCTGTTTTAGACAGCTAGTATATGAGAAAGCATATGCATCTACATTACTAACTAAATCAATAAAGAAACTTGGCTTTATGCCTGTATTTATGTGATAATGTGAATAGAAGTAGGAGGAGGAGGAATGGATAATGCTATTTGATTGTTGATGATATTAGATATTGTATTGAAAGAGAGCCAAAGCGGTGAGGAGAATAACGAATGATGACTGAGTAAGATGTGTTTAAAAGATATAAATATGTCAGGGAGATTGGGTGGAGAAGAGGAGCCAAAGGTTGCATGTGGTATATGATGTCCATATTGTCCAGAGGTATGAGGAAAAAATGAGACGAGTGATATGTTTTCGGTTATCATAAATGGGGGTCCAATATCCATAGTGTCACATATTAATATGTCTGTAACACTATCCCCCAATAAAAAATATCAGGGGCGCATTAGAATGTTATATAGTGACACAAATATTCAATCGATTGACTAATTACTATTGTATAGAGCCTACAATAAAGCAATATGTCGCAACAACCTTTTCAAGCCTGGCAAAGCCAACAACAACAGCAATCTACAACTGATAACCAGATATACTCAGCCTTACAACACACTACTTTACAACAACCAATACAACAGGAACATATGAGCGGTACCAATCAGCTTTTCTATCAGCAACCGCCAACAAATTCCTTGCAGCGAAGCCTCCCATCACAATCATCGCATTCAACTGAACGACAGTTTCGACAGCAACGATCTTCCTATATGTATTCCCCGTATGCGAACAAAGAATATTTCAGTCAGCTGCATCAATCACTACCAACAGATACTGTTCACCGACAATCTCAAAACCTTCCACTCAACTATGTTGGAATTACACCTTATTCGGGGATTGCCAACATGGAGCTATGTCAAGATGATGCTGATCAAACCAACCATCCCACTCCTCAGCAACAGTTGCCACTATTATATCCACGACAAGCAGAGCAACAAGTGCAACAACAAAAACCACAATATGACGGACAACATATGCTCGAAGTTGATTGGATTAAGCCACAAGAGTATATTCAAACGCAGGTTAGTATAAATATGATGAGATGAGTTTTCCGTCAGCTTGAAATTTGCATATCTACTGACCAGTGTAGGTTAATCAATACAGACACAATCACAAGGAAGCATCCGACAAATATCTCAATTGCTTAACCCATTAAGAGACAAGACTTTACATCAAATTTCTCACATTAATTCTAATGAGCAATTGTCACAGTCTCAAGCAATTGTTCAGGAAAATGGATCTAATAACATGTATAAACAGTGGATACGTAACAGCATTCAAGAAGGGTCCATTGATTGTTATTTGGAAAACAATGTTACTGTGAGCATGATACCCGTTGCTCGCGGTGCATATGGAGTAGTACATAAGGGAACTATAAAAGACTCTGGCAAGACTGTTGCAATGAAAACTTTG